TTGTTTATCTTTCTTTTTATATTTGTTTGTTTTTCTCTCTATATGCATTTGTTTTTGTTTGTTTGTCTCTCTATTATATTTCTTTCTGTCTGTCTCTTTATATTATTTATTTTTTCTTTCTGTCTCTCTCTATACAGCTAGCTGCTGCAGCTAGCTGCTGCAGCTAGCTGCTGCAGCTAGCTGCTGCTGCTAGCTGCTGCTGCTGCTTGATAGAGACAGACTGGGATAAGCAAAAAAAACAAAAAAAGTTAATAAGAGGGAGAAACACAACAAAAAAAAGAAAAAAAAAAAAAGAAAACGAAAAAAAACAAGAAAAATAAAAAGAAAAAAATTAAAAAAAAAATAAAAAAGACATTTTGTTATTCCTCCTCTTTTACAGAGATAAAGGGGCCCTCTACCGCAGCAGCTGGGGGCCCCCTGGGGGCCCCCGTGGAGGGTACAGGGGCCCCTGCTGCAGCGGGTGGGGGCCCCGTAGCAGCACAGAAGAGGGGGCCCCCATAAGGCCTCGATACATCTAAGCAACCCCTGCTGCTGCTATCAGCAGCAGCAGCAGCAGCAGCAGGAGCAGCAGCAGCAGCAGCAGCAGCAGCAGAGTCAGCAGCTGCTGCTGGTTGTTTATTGGTTCTTCCCTTTCTCCCTCTAGCTGCTTCCTTGCTTTTATCTTCTGCTGCTGCTGCAGCAGCAGCAGCAGCAGCAGCAGAGCTGGGGGCCCCCCCCCTCTCGCTGCTGGGGGGGCCCCCCCCTCTACCCCGCTTGCTGCGGGGGCCCCCCCCCCTCTTCCTCAGGGGTGTTGGGGGGGCCCTTGTGCTGCTGCTGCTAGCAGCAGGACAAGGAAACCTTAGGGGCCCATCTAGCTGCAGCAGCAGAAGAAAACAAACCCTAAACCCTAAACCCTAAACCCCCATTGATGGTTTATATATATATGTATAGTGTTGGTATTTTAGGGTGTAGGGGTTGGTTTAGGGTTTAGATAAAAGGGTTTTCTCTTTTTTTTTAATATTAGGGTTTAGGGTTTATAAAAATAATATATGCGGTGTATGAAAAGGGTTTAGGGTTTAGGGTTTAAGGGGAGACATAAGGCTCCAGATATACTGCTTTTCCTCTCCACCACAACGTCAGTTTAGGGTTTAGGGTTTAGTTAGTGTTTAGGGTATAGAGTCTAGGGTTTAGGGTTTAGGGTTTAGGGTTTACAGGTTAGGGTTTAGGGTTTGAACTAAAGGATTTAATACTTAGGGTTTATTATTCTTTTCCTCTTAAATCACAACACACATATATACATATATATATAAATATAAATATATAAATATAAATATATAAATATATATATATATATATATATATATATATAAATTTTAGGGTTTAGGGTTTAGGGTTTAGATACAGCTTCAAGCAGCGAAGCAGCGGGGGTTTCAGGTACGAGCTGGTTGTCTCTGTTTCTCCATATATAATAAAACCTCCTTTTGCTTACAGCCCAAAACTCAACAAACTCTTCTTCTTCTTCTTCTTCTCTTCTTCTCTTCTTATACTCTTGGGGGCCCCCCTGAAGGTGTTTATTGTGTTTAAGTTTGTTATTGATTTTTCTTTGCATGCGTTTAATACAAATACAACCTTTACACTGATCTGTATGGGGCTGGGGTGTATCTACATGTCTAGATAAATATAAACCCGAAGAAGAACAAAAGAAATCAATAAGAGGAAGAGGAAAATGTATTAAAAAAGAAGAAAAGACACGCACACTATCCTCCTCACCACCACCATATAAAGAAAACACACACGGCCATAACAACCCCACCACCAACAGACGAATCGCTAATACACGCAGCTGCATACACATACACACACACATAAAATATATTTATTTTTTTTTTTTTTTTTTTTTTTTTTTTTTTTTTTTTTT